GGTAGTATCCTGGATAGGCAGAAATGTCTGTTGATATAACAGCATAAGAAACATGGACAGCTCTAAAAGGGATGCCTAAACCTGAGGCACCATTTCCAGGGTGCTAAGACCAAATAAAACAATGGCTTTTGGTGTGTTGAGGATTCTTTGGGTCAACATATTCGTGCGAGCAAGGAATTTAATAGAGAACAAGCCGAGAAGCCAATAAATAACTAGTCAAAATCTAAAGTCTTAAACCAAAAATTACCAGAACTGTCACCGTTCGCATTGATTTTTAATATAATTTCAATTTTGTTTAGCATAATACCACATTTTGTACCATAGTAATATTAAAAATAATAATGATTAAAGTCGTATGTTACTTAACTGGCATTTCTTTATTCGATACAAATTTGAAGTAAAATGCAAAAGCCGAATTAAAAATTCGTGGTTTTTTGAAATTCATGAAACAATATTTTTATTGAGAATGTCTCTTCCTTCTTAAAGGTGTGCCTATCCCTGATCTACACTATCACATCTAAGACGTTTCATGATTAATTTAATGGTAGAATTTATTACTGTGATTTCTGCTAAAAGACATAAAATAAAAGGAATATGAAGACAAAATGCTAATAAGTTTTATAAAATTGTTAGAAAAACTTAACAGACGTTTTCTGAATTTCATGTGGTTACTTGATATTCAGCATTGAAAATATATTAAATGTTGTGGCACATATCTCCTATTTTTAGAGCCATGATTTTAGAAAATGAAGTTCGGCGTTGTTGACATATCTATTTAAGTTCTTTAATTAGTCATGCTAAAAGAGAAACTGTTCTTAAATATATTACAACAACTGCATTGTGGTAGTCATCAACCCGATGCCCTTTGTATACATAAAAAGTAAAATAAACAGATGTAAATGTCTTACTTTTAGAAGTACTTATTTAATTTTTATTTTAGATATAGATTTTTGGTTCCGTTGGAATCTTTTTCAGGTATTGGATGTAACAATAAGATTGTTGTACTTTATACCAAATGATTATTGAGGAAGCTCTCATTCCTGTTCTGCGTTTGTCGTTTAAATTGAATAAGTAATTGGTGTTAATAATATATTCTGCAATGTTAGTATTGAATATGTATTTCTAATTGGAATGAGATTTTTATTCCTATAAGAGAAAGATAAACTAAACGATACATATGGACAATGGTAGCAAATCTCTCAATTTTGTATTTGTATGAGGAATCACGATGATGTAAAGATTACAGGAATTAGCACAGGATATTTTTATACCGTTTTTAATTTTATTAGAGAAGAAAAATCCCTCCAATGTAAATTTATCTTTCGCGATAGACCACCTGAGATTCTTGCAGAAATGAGTAGTAGAAGGGGTGTCTTTGCGTTGTTTCACTAGGACTTTTTGTTCAATTCTCTGACTAGTTTTTCTTCCAGGTGACGTTAAGGTTGACCAATATTGATTAGCCCATTGTGGTTGATTTTTGGCTTAGTTTGATTATTTTAGAAGTCGATTCCAACTTGCTTTAGAAGAATATAAAACAATTTTTGGAATAACATTTGAAATAATAAAGTTTTGAAAAGAAGTCGAAAAAATTCATATTTATTTGGAATGAAATATTGAAATTATATTAATCGTATATCAAAGTGAATGTGATGTTTGGATTTAACATGTTCAAATTAGTTAGAACCGAGACTTGTTATGTTGAAAAAAGAAGAAAAAATTGTCAATATACTGGTATGTTTTGACGCCTGCCAATGGAAAAACTAGCCATGAAGTCATCATCATCATCATCATCAGGTCGTAATAAGTCTAAAACTCCTCCTTTTTCCTAATATAATTAGTTGATTCTCCTAAAATTAGAACATCAAGTCCTAAAACTGGCTGGACATGCACTTCCTCCTTTTTTCTAATATAATGAGCTGATTCTCCTAAAATTAGAACATCCCATATCCTTAACTATTTGTGAACAGTAGTCTAGATCTACCTCTGCTCCTCTTCACTCCTGTTTCTGCTTCTAATATGTCTCTAACTGGTCCTTCATGTCTAAGAAAGTGTCTTACCAACCTATCTCGCCTATTTCTTATTGACTTCCATAGTGACCTCTATTATCATATACCTTCTAATACCTTCCCATTTCTAACTTTTTCTATCCTGTGTATCAGACATATCTTGTATTTATTTCTCCAATAATTTCAGATGGCTCATCTCGAAGGACAAATTTGCATTAAGTTATTCTTTTTCTTTAGAATATTTGACATTTGATCTAATTAAAACCCATTAAAAAAATTGTTTAATATATAAAGTGATGTTACAATTTATACATAACACAAATTAAGGTTAATATGTAGTTAAGATAAGACAATCCTAATAATTAGTGTTTCCTTTTTCTTTTTTTCATGCTTTCTCCAACAGGATTGCGTTGTAAGTATAAAAATGCATGGAATGTAATCCGTGTCATCCCCTGTTATGATAAACTTAACTGATGCATGCAATATGACAATAAAAGACCGCTCCTGCCCATAACTTATGATTATTTACCTTTAATAAAATAAATTATCTGTCGGTAGCTACTTCCTATTCGATGACCGGAATGTGTTCGCTTGCATGTTTCATAATTACTGAAGTATCATTTTTGTTTGTTCATTCTCCTGAACACTAATTTATTAACTGAATTCGTTATTCAAGTAATGGACAAACACAGATTAATTATCTTAAAGCAGAAAAAAATACCGAAAGGGAATTTATTTACGAAAACTTTTAGGAGGGTTTGGTCTTAATTTTTGCAAGTTACTAACACGTTTTTGTTTTAATTGAAGAATCCCGTGTAAAATTAGTCATTGAAATACTCAAATATTGAAATGTTTTGTAACTGCATACCCAATAAAAATTGTAGGTATCTATAGGGATTTATTAAAAAGTACCAATTACGTGTCCACATTTTTGATTTAACTTTTGACTCATCATCCGTCCCCTAGAGCCTATGGAATAAAAGATAATGTAACAAAGAAAATAGTGAATACTATTACCAAGTGATCAGTTTGGTGGCAGTTATGATTATTACAGTTGGAAAATTGTTTATTAGTTTATGAAATTATCTGATTTCATTTACTAATTCGTAATAAATAATTTAATATTATTTATTTGGGTTGTGAATCAAAGGCGACATCTAAGAAAACATAATGTGCTTGGTCAACTGTCTAACGTTCATGGTGATTTCAAATTTTTAGTAGCCCTCATCAGCACGCAGTCGCTGCTTTAAATCACTGATCAATCTAAAACCTGCTATCATTACTTATTTAATTCTGTTTCTTGGCAGCAGGTAAGCTCGGTAAGGTCGGTAATCTGCCGGAACGATTTGAACTGCCAAGCACCTTCGCCATATTTTTTTGATTAATAGATCTCTTAATTGTAAGCCACGGCTGAGTCATTTATTTACAAATTAATAAAGCACACAAAAATGGGGAAGCATTATGAATAAGTGAAATTACCTTCTAGCAAAATAATTACACAGTAAAAACTGCTATTTCCTAGAAATATACCGGAAAATTAGCTATTCTAGAAGATAATCATGAAGGTTTACAACAGTTTGAATGACACGTAATTGATAATTTTTATTTTTGGTTATACCTAGATATGTCAATCCCTCTATTATTGAAACATTTCAACTGTTTTATGATAGCCAATTGCGCTAGTGTAATTTAAGAAAAGAACCCTGCAAATTTTAATAGGAAAGTCAATTTCGATCTATTGTAATAACGGAAGTTTGGGAAAAAGTTCATTGAATTCCTTGATTAATCTCAATAACCACGTTCCCAAAATTTCGAGTTTTAGACTTTTATCTGGGAATGGTTGTTAAGTAAAAAAGTTGAAAAACTTTGGAGCCTTTAAAATACGCACTTTCTCTTTTTAATTAATTTACCTATGTTACATTACAAGTTATAAAGCAATATTGGAATTTTGACCTGTGTATCATTCGAATTACTGCACACATTCCATTAACTTCAATTAAAAGCAATCACAGTAACCCTCTTTATCGATTTGGTGCCGCATACTCATTATAAGCTTCACTGTTCCGTTTAAATCCATTCATTTCCTGCGGTTTATTATTTAGAATAAAAAAAATCTGGATAACTGCACTTGCCGGAATAGGCAGCATTGTATATGTATTATATGCTTGTACTAATNGACAGGCACAGCAACAGTTCGTGTGTATACGAAAAACAAGAATGATGAAGAACCAAAATTCTCACAGCAAGTATACACGCCAAACGTTGATGAAAACGCTGGTCCAAATACACTAGTGACAACTGTTGTGGCTTCCGATAAAGATGGAGATAATGTTCGATTTGGCTTTGTTGGAGGTGGTACAAGTTCTGGTCAATTTGTCATTGAAGAAATAACTGGTGTGATACGTCTACATGGGAAATCTATTTCATTGGAAAGAGACAAATACGAACTGAATGTTACTGCAATGGATGACGGATCTTGTTGTGTAGATGGAGAAAAGACCATTCACACTAGCACGGCCGTTGTTGTAGTGTTTATTACTGATGTAAATGACAACAAACCGATTTTTAAAGATTGCGGAACGTACTATCCAAAGGTTGAAGAAGGCGCTCCAAATGGATCACCAGTTATTAAAGTCCATGCTACAGACGAGGATAAAGGTGTTAATGGTCAAGTCAAGTACTCCATTGTGCAACAACCAAATCAAAAGGGAACAAAGTTTACCGTAGATGAAGAGACCGGTGATGTCTCAACTAATAAAGTGTTTGATCGTGAAGGAGACGACGGAAAATTTGTATCAGTAACAGTTAAGGCTACTGATCAAGGAGAACCTTCTCCATTCATTTCCTGCGGTTTATTATTTAGAATAAAAAAAATCTGGATAACTGCACTTGCCGGAATAGGCAGCATTGTATATGTATTATATGCTTGTACTAATTGTATGTGTGTATTTGTATATGCGTATGTTAACCGGAAACATGCTTTCCTTTATACAGACACGGACAATCAACGCGTCATTATCCACGTGCGGGATGTGAATGACGAACCACCCTATTTCATTAACCGTCCTTTGCCTATGCAAGCTGTGGTGCAGCTGAACGCACCCCCCAACACACCGGTATTCACCCTCCAAGCAAGAGACCCCGACACGGATCACAACATTCATTACTTCATTGTGAGAGATCGGACAGGTTAGTATATTACAATGGATCGCAGAAACCGAGTTATTTAGGGCAAACGTTTTCTACACATTCAGCAATTATGTTGGGAGGTATATGTACAATATAATGCAGTAGAACTTCTATAACTCGAACATCAAGGGAGACGCCAAAAAAATATAAAGTTTTCGACTTATGGAGGATTTTGACTTAGGCGGATTTTGAAAATCAAAATAAACACCTAACACTAAGCAAGCAAGCCATGGGCGTACCCAGCTTCTGAGCTAGGGGGGGCAAAATTTTTTTTAGGTCAGATCGTCCGCGGCTGTTTTGTCATACACACTACGCAAAGGCACCTACATGAAACATTAGGTATATGTAGGACAAACAGCCGCAAATGATCCTGCTTTTAGGTAGTTAAGGCTGTTTGGGAGGTATGTCAAAACAATTAAAAATTGGGAAAAAGCTCCTCGTTCAATTCTAAAACTCCTGTAAAAATTACAAATCGATTTACTAAACCGTTAAAAAGTTATNCAAAAGTCAATTTAAAATTTTCCATATTATTCGTTATTTCTTATTTTATTCAAAGTTTTTGGTCAAATTCCAAATTTTCTCTCAAACCGTATACATCTTTTTTAGTATAGATAGTATTTATTTACCTCATGGTATGCTGCAAACTTCTACTATTTTATTCAAAAGTGAGCATACAAGGCCCCGTTTACACACAGGCGAGTTCATACATTTCTGCGAGATTTCCAGGGGGGGCAGCTGCCCTCCCCTGCACCCCCTGGGTACGCCCATGAAGCAAGCACGTGTTATCGTGAATCATAAATTCCTTAAGTGGTAATACTATTTATTGTAGTAAAATGATGATTCGGGCTATGGGCTATATTTATTGTATATTCCTAAATTGTTTTCTAAGAACATACATCCTTAAAATCAATAACTAAGTTTTCTTCGACCTATAGACGTGATAAGTTTCAAATTATCGAATTGTAAAGGTTGTAAAATAAAACATTGCTATGTTCGAGATACAGAAGTCCAATTTAATTTTGCTAGTTGTAGAGGGAAAATATGTACCGAAATAGCTTGCAATGACTCACTGATTATTTCGACTAATAGAGGATTGAGATTTTGAGTAACAGAGGTTTTGGGACTTGAAGTGAAATGAACAAAACAACTATCGACGTTCGACTTAAAGAGGTTCTTCCGTATAAAACTAATATTTTAAATCCAAAAAATTGAAAACTATCGTATTCATTATTGAATAGGTCTAATGAAAGTATAAGAAGCGCTACAGTACCTAATTGATGTTAACTTTCAAAAATAATTGTGAAATTTATAAACTTATTCGATTATTGCTGCCTTATTAATTCTTTTTTGCAATGGTACGTTCAATTTCTGAAAAAAGAAAAACATTTAAAGCATGAGAAAAATAACCGATGAGGTCCTTACTACACAAGCTGATATAAGTTAAGCAAGAACACATTCTAAAAACATCCTTAAAATATATATCTTCATTTAATATGTTTCCATATTGAAATTGATGTAATAGTTTTATGTAAAGGTTATTTACAATTCACATTAGATGTTATTTAATATTCTATATGTTTCATAAATATATAGTATTAACAAGATGTGATTAAAATGTCGTAAGTTACGAGTCCGATTTATTTTCTCCGGTAGTAATTTTTGTGTACATAATCACTAGAGGGTAGTCTCTAGGGTCGATATTCATTTGAATGATTTCAGAAATGAAAACAATTGTTCCAACAATTTGAATTTTTAATTTAGCTGCCGGAGCCTCGCTGAATGATTTAGTCAAATTGGATTATTTATTAAAAATTCCAAAGTGTTTTTTGAGTTACATTAAATTACATTCCAACAATGAAATAAAAGAAATATCAGCTTATGAAATATTAATTTTCAAAATAAGAAACGTAAAAATTTAATAATTTCACATTTGCTTTCAAATAATGTCTCGTTTTTTTACTTAATTATTACAGTAT